ATGGGAAGATGGTAAAATAATGATATTTGTTCATAGTAAGTACAATAAATTTTAATTTCTTGTTTTGTATACCATGTAATTAAATTATTTACCCTTTTCATTCTAAAGAAATTGGTTTTGCTTGATATTAAATAAATAATGAGTATTAAACTAGATACTTCATAGTTAATTAATTGTAGAAAATAATTTTTCATTTTTAATAAAAGAAATGTCATTTCTCAAAGAAGATAAACTGTTTATTTTCAGATTGCAAGAGTTTGCCTGTAATTTTTCTTTCAATTTTATTATCTATTTTAAAAATAAAACATAACAGTTTTATAATGCTTACGATCTCCATTATTGATGCATTTGAGGCAATGTGTTATGTCAGTCACGTTACCTGCATTACATGTAATGTCAGTCACGTGATGCATTTGAGGCAATGTGTAATGTCAGTCACGTTACCTGCATTACATGTAATGTCAGTCACGTGACCTACATTAGCTGTAATTTGGGTCACTCTTGTAATGGTGGGTCACAAAGTTTTTGTTGCCATATAATAAAAACCACTAATTCAAATGGTCGTTTTATAATTGGAAATTGTACTTATAAGTACATTATTTGAAAAAACCAAAAAAACAACCTATAATAAGTATTGTGTGTTGGATAAAGGAAAAAGAGAGATCCTGAAATCATGTCCACAAATTTATTACAGTTTTATTTGAGCTTTTAACATCAAATATATTCATAAACTATTATATTTTTCACACTTGACTGTTATTTGGTAACCTAAAAAGCTAATGGAATCATAATTACCATAATTCTTTCAAGCTAACTGTGTCAAAACTTAGGATTTTGTGTGTGACCCACATTACACAAAAACCTGTCCCCAAATTTCTCTTCTAGTAATAATTAATTATATAAATTAATTTCAGACTTAAAAACATTATATTTATGAACTACAAAGACCAAACTTTCAAAAAATATAAGATTTATTAATGTAGGTAAGTATAATTTTTTTCAAATGCTGGGGACAGCAATTGTCCTGTTTTCAAGTTTTTGCCCGTGGAGGAGTTAGTTCAAAGGAAAAATTTCGTGTTGGCGTATTAATTATATAGATTTTTGTAACATATCAGCATATGGGTTTTTGGATTTTTTAAATCCCATACTAAATTTCATGAAGATATCTTAAATGTTTTTTAAGATATAGGCCTAAATTTAAAATTGAAAAAAACAAAATGGCAGACATCTTGTTAACCAAATGTTTTTCAAATTGTTATCCTTCATTTTAGCGAATTTCCCCTATAGGGAATAAGCTATTTGTTTTATTTTGACCCATTTAATGTATTCCTGAAATTTGTGTACTTATGGGACACTCTGTGTACCTATATAACCTATATAGAAGTTATTTATAAATATATATATATATATACAGGGTGTTTTTTTCAAAGAAGGGGGGGAATGTGAATGTAACGTTGAATTCAAAACAATTGGGCCCCCTACGTCAATAGATGATTCCCGCAAACTGCATATTTCTATCTATTGCGGTTTTTACATAAATAAAGATGCAAGTTTTTAAAAAAACACCCTGTATATATATTTTTTTTATGTGATGACGGTTTCTGAGCGGGTGATTAAAGGGTAATATAAATTTGCTTAACATTTACTGACAATTTATTTAAATAGGCTATATGGCAAATTTTGGTACAATCAAAGAAGTAAAATTATATAGGTAAACTAAAATGAATCAAGTGCATAGGCTATAAATGACATGTAACACTGCAGTCTTAAGACAAAAAAAAAACCAGAGCTGATAGGCCTACATTGTTTCTGAGGCGTTGGCTTGATCATTCTTCTAAAGAGAGATCTCAAACTGTCGTCAATTAACAGAATAATTCAAACAAACTAAAGTTAAGTTAAGAACTTAAGTACTTTATAGCATTTTTTGTTCATTGCAGTACACTGTTTATCTTTGAAAAGTACTGTACTGTTAGGTTTTAGTACCGTACATGCTGTAATATACATATTTACTGTTCCTTCTCTTTTTATTCTGTAGTACCTGGGGACCGAGCTTTGCTCGGGAAAATCATTAGTTTGCTCTGAAAGCAGTCTTAGTATTGCAGATACATAAATCCATTCCCAAACTCCACACTGCTCGCCTTTACTACTTCCTTCAGCACTCCCTACGTCGTGGACCTGTTTCCCTCCCTTCCCATTGCATGTTAGGATTGTAGATACATTAATGTAATTGCCACAGACATTTCCCACACTCAGCACTGCTAGCCTTACTACTTCCTTCATCACTTCCTACGAAGCGGACCTGTTTTCCTCCCTTCCCATTTCATTAAAAAATAGCAGATACCTTAATCTAATAGTCATAAACAGTTCCCACACTCCAGACAGCTCGGCTTGACTACTTCCTTCACCACATCCTACGTCGTGAGCCTGTTTTTCTCCCTTCCCATAACATTTTAGGATTGGAAATACCTTAATCTAATCGTCATAAACAGTTACCACACTCCGGCTAGATCACCTTTACTTCCTTCAGCACTTCCTACGTCGCACACCTGTTTTCTTCCCTCCCCATAGCATTTTAGGATTGCAGATACCTTAATCTAATCGTCATAAAAAGTTCCCACACTCCAGACAGCACGCTTTGACTACTTCCTTCACCACTTCCTACTTGGCGGACCTGTTTCCCTCCCTTCCCATAGCATTTTAGGATTGCAAATAACTTAATATAATCGTCATAAACAGTTCCCACACTCCAGACAGCTCGCCTTGACTACTCCCTTCACCACTTCCTACGTCACGAACCTGTTTCTCTCCAAACACAGTCCAAACACACTCCAAACGACTCGTCTTGACTACTTCCTTCACCACTTCCTACGTCGCGGACCTGCTTTCCTCCCTTCCCATAGCATTTTAGGATTGAAAATACCATAATCTAATCGTCATTAACAGTTCCCACACTCCAGACAGCTCACTTTGACTACTTCCTTCACCACTTCCTACGTCGCGGAGCTCTGTTTCCCTCCCTTCCCATAGCATTTTAGGATTGTATATACCTTAATCTAATCGTCATAAACAGTTCCCACACTCCGGACTACTCGCCTTTACTTTTTCCTTTATCACTTCCTACGTCACGGACCAGTTTCCCTCCCTTCCCATAGCATTTTTTGATTGCAAATACATTAATCTAATTGTCATAAACAGATCCAACACTCCGGACAACTTTCCTTTACTACTTCCTTCACCACTTCCTACGTCACAGACCTGTTTCCAAACCTTCCCTTCCTATAGCATTTTAGGATTGCAGATCGTAAACAGATCCCATATTTCGTACTGCTTACAATGCCTACAATGTATCGAGCAATCTTCAGTATAATCTTTGCTCAATAGTAGCAAGTGATGCTTTCCCTTTTGTACTGTATTTGTAATTTGCTAGTATACTGTGGGTAGTTGGCTTATTATGAACACGTGCTACAACTTCAAGTCTTTTGTTTACTTTTTCCTTGTTATTTAATTCAACCAACATGGTTACTTAGCAAACCATAAGACTAATGTTAAAAAAATGTAACTTTCAGTTTCGTTTTTCTTCGTAATTAGATTTTTGTTGGGAGTTCTAACTGCATGAAGCTCGTTTTTAGGCCAAAAATAAACTATTTACAAGTTTTGAAGAAAATCGTCGGAGCTGTTTTCGAGATCTTTCTGCAAGCAAGCAAGCAAGCAAGCATACATACAAGCAAACATTGCTCGTATTAGAGTATAGGATAACATTGCTTTGTTTTGTTCACAACACTGTCTTTACTATAGGATTTGAAAAGTAAAGTGTAACTTTTAGTACCGTACATGCTGTAACACACTTTCTCACTGTTCTACATTTTAAAATTTAAAATATGCTTCCTTGTAAAAAAAATCAAAGAATTACTTTTTTGATTTTGGATTTTTAAGCGACTTCTGGATAACTGAAGTTCGGATAATCAGGACTACCGGTACACTGTATTGTTATTTATTATTATTGCCCCTATTGAATTTAAAGTTTTGTGTAAAAGCGTCTTTATGTCAAGGGGTTTGTTTAGGCTACCAGGTATGTTGAATAAATTAATTAGCTGTTTATATTGAGTTAGGCCTATATAGGTTGCACTGTACTCATAAGCTCCAGAGTAAAGTGTTACATACACGGACGAGCATGTTCGCGATTCTGTTGGCGGACACGCTCGCAAACATGCTCGGCGTTTCCAACAGACAGTCGAGCATGCTTGCGAACTTGCTTGCCGCCACCACACACTACTCTTGCTTCTCTTGTGCTGTGACAATTCGACGAGCCGAGCGCCGAGCCCAACATGCGCGCCGGTACGAAGGCTCGCAGACCCCTCACACGGGCGAGCATGTTCGCCGCCAACACCGTCACGAACATGCTCGCGAACATGTTTGCCCGTGTATGGGGGGTCTTAATAATAAATACTAGAGGTCGTCCAGTGGTCAAAGACTCAACCAAAAATATACAATCTACCGACTTCTTTATTTCCACCCCACGCTTTAAATAAAACATGTGATTTGAATTTCTTCCATTTGTTTTGATTTTCTATTTATTTATATTTCGTTGTCATTTTGTCACCAACATGGCAACCCATAAGGCCCATGTTATTTTTTTAATTTTTAAATGAATTCGATGTGCTTATTTTTGAGCCTATTTTACTTTATAAAGGGATTCTGCACATCAACAGGAAAATATCTTTCTAACAGTATGCGTAGAATTTTCCTGCAATGTACACAAGCTGAGAAAAAAGGTTTTAAAGAAACATGCTTGCCTATTAATATATTTAACTTGGATGAGTTTGAGTTTTCCTCAACTGAAATAATAACAAAACAATCGTTAGTAGGCCCTATCACCAACCTTTAGTCAACAAGTTAGAATTTAAAAAAGCTAGCCTACTGACAAAAGAATTTGTAGTAGTCTGCCCTAAAAATTTTACGTTTAACTTCTACTTAGGCCAATTGAGTTTTAGACAACTTACCAATATAAATCTTCCAATCGGTTTTATTGCAAACTTTCCAGTTTGCAAGGCCAAAATGTTAGGTGATGAAAACATAGAGCCTAGGCACTGACTAACTCCAATAAGCTGTCCACACAAAGCGTGGCGTTGCTGTTCGCTGACCCAACTTGGATAGAAATAAACAACTGCATCTTGTGGATCATCTTCTTCCCGTTGACAACGCTCACAATCGTAGACAAAGACTATGAGCAGTTCTCTAAAACAAATTGGGTAACCAAAGTTACTTTAAGCTATAAATACTATCAATACTGAAATTGTGAAAGATGAGATCTGTCTTGCTTTCAGAGTTTGTAGTCCAAAGCGCTGTAGTGTTAATGAAATTGCCTATATAATTATGAATAGCATGAACAGTTTTTTAATGTATGTAAAAACCAATAACTTATATGAGGCTCAAAATTTCCAACCAAACACAACTGTGTAGTGCTACACAATAAATGTTATGCCGATATAAAAAGGTTGAGCATGATAATATTCCCGCAGCAAGTTAAAATTTAAGTTAGGACTAAGTAAACTTATAGTTTAATCATATGAAACTTTTTTTTTTTAATAAACTAGGCCTATACACAGAATAAGAATATAGAATAAAGTACGGTAACTAGCTAGTCTTTTCAAATTTTATATTTTAATATAACTTTGCATAAGAAACACACTTCTTAACATTAAAACATGACATTTGACATTTTTAAGTTATTAATTTTTAATGAAAATTACTTGCAGCCTGGACAGAATCTTTTTAACCTTCCATCGGGCGCATCACGGAAGTTACCACTACCACAGAAAACATACTACTATAACCCAGAATGCCAACCGCATGGTAAAAAGCGTTAAGTACTTTGAAAGAGCTTTGCCTGTCAATTCGTAGGCAGCGCCACCAGCGTGCAAAGGTCTCTCAAAGTACTTAACGCTTTTTACCATGCGGTTGGCATTCTGGGTTATAGTAGTATGTTTTCTGTGCCACTAGGTGACTACATTTTTTGTTATAAAAACCATAGTTTGCATTCAGCAGAGCTGTCGCCTGCCGCACCTCTTTCACGGAATCGGTTTTAGCTACTCTTACCCCATTCCCACAGGGTTTCCACCTTAGGTCAGGAAAAAATAGGGACATTGCCCCCCTCCCTCCCGGATAACATAGGCTTAAATACGGGCATAAGGAACCAAAATCAAAACTGTCCCGGCAGAATCGGGACGGTTGGCAACCCTGCATTCCCAGTTGTCAGTCGACATTGGGGAGTGGTTCGCGTCACTACTTTAAGTAGCTTCCGTGAGCGCCCTGTGATGTAACGGGTTTCCCGGAGCCTATTTCCGTAACTTATACTTCCTTTTGATTGATCTTATTTTGCGGTATTATAAAATGGATGAAGAATTGTGACGAATTGTGCGATCGTTGGCTAGAGTTGAAAGGAAGGACAGGGAACAACATTTAAGTTAGTGGAAAGACCTAGCGGTGTGCTTGTTTGGGAACTTTTTTTTAGAAAAAGAGCTTTGACAAAATTTGTAGTCCTTTTAACAAAAGTTAATTTTTTTCATTAGACCATAGTTGTTTTAGTTTACACACTATTGCAATTTTTTAAAGAGCTTTGACAAAATAAGTTGTCCTTGTAAAATGATTTTTTTCATAAAACCATCTAGGTGTTTTTATGCTATACAATAACTTAATGCAATTTTTTTCTAAGAGCTTTGACAGAATGAGTTGTCCTTGACACAAATGATTTTTTTCATTGGACCATAACTTAGGTGTTTTTAGCGAATTTCCCATATAGGGACTTAATAGCCCCTAACATGAATGAAGCATGAATTATATATATAAGTTTTCTTTTTTATAAGTTTTTTTTTTAGTTATATATATACAGGGTGTTTATTTGAAAACTTTCCATATCTGTTGTGTGCAAAGGTAAGGCTTTTAACACTTGTTTGTTCTCATTTCCCCCTAATTTGGACATGCCAAATCCAATAAAATTATTTTCAATTTCAAAAAATGCCCCAAAAGGGCCCAATTTGGTGGGTAAGTTAGGGGTGCTTTTTGAGAAATTTTCAAATGTAAACATGGGTTGAGTGATACATCAATTTAAAGGTCTAATCATCCCTACTATTTTGGTGCAATAAAAATGTAATTATCTTGAACCGTATTTTCAGGGTGGGTCAAAACGTTTTAAAAAAGGACTTTGAAGTTAAGTACCGTATTACCCGAACTACTGAACGGAACAGCGCCAAATTTCTTTAAAAGCTTATTCTTGATCTACTCTTTAAGATAACTTGTAATAAGGGCATTTTCCATGTTATTTTCTAGTAAAAAAAAAATCTGAAATTTGAAGAATAAAAGAAAGTTGAAAACTCAAAATTCTTAAATAGCAAGGTATAACAAATTTCATACCACGTGAAAGGTCCTTTTTTAACAAACATTTGACGTATTTAAGTTTTCTTTTATCTCTTACCGTTTAAAAATTGCAGTAGAAAAACTGAATTTTCTATGGTAAAATTTAAATAACTAGTTTTCTAACAAAACACATTGCACTTTGTTCAACGATGTATTATGATTAATTACAAATTGATCAACTACTTTTACTTATGTCAGTTCATCTTGGACCCTTCATCCTGTTCTTTTCTCATTGGTAACTGAGCCAGTCTCAGAAATTTCTTAACTAAATCATTTACAGCTTTATGACTTAAGGTCTTACCTGGATATTTATTGTTAAACACTTTGCAGTTATCCTAAAACACTTTTGTTCCGTCCAATAAGTAAAAATAAAGTCTATTTTTTTAAGTGCACACCATATTCGATTAGATACTACAGAAAATAGTACTTTTTGAAATTAGTACTACCATTGACTAGCCAATGGTAAGTTACTACAGAAAGCGGCCCACTTGTAGGTTGTCCTCATCAGCTATAAGACTTGTTTTTCACAAAGTAAAACGTAATGACTTGTTTGTCAATCACGGTATCAATAATTATGAATTGTTTCCTTCAGTTAATGCACCATTAAATGTGTCTAGAGACGAATTTTGGCTGTTTTATTAGAAAACTAGTTACAATATTACTATGGAAAATTCAGTTTTTCTACTGCAATTTTTAAACGGTAAGAGATAGAAAGAAAACTTAAATACGTCAAATGTTTGTTAAAAAAGGACCTTTCACGTGGTATGAAATTTGTTATACCTTGCTATTTAAGAATTTTGAGTTTTCAGCTTTCTTTTATTCTTCAAATTTCAGATTTTTTTTACTAGAAAATAACATGGAAAATGCCCTTATTACAAGTTATCTTAAAGAGTAGATCAAGAATAAGCTTGGAAAGAAATTTGGCGCTGTTCCGTTCAGTAGTTCGGGTAATACGGTACTTAACTTCAAAGTCCTTTTTTAAAACGTTTTGACCCACCCTGTAAATACTGTTAAAGATAATTACATTTTTATTGCACCAAAATAGTAGGGGTGATTAGACCTTTAAATTGATGTATCACACAACCCATGTTTACATTTGAAAATTTCTCAAAAAGCACCCCTACCCCCCGAATTGGGCCCTTTTGGGGCATTTTTCGAAATTGAAAATAATTTTATTGGATTTGGCATGTCCAAATTAGGGGGAAATGAGAACAAACAAGTGTTAAAAGCCTTACCTTTGCACACAACAGATATGGAAAGTTTTCAAATGAACACCCTGTATATGTGTCCGTTAGCGCGATAACTCGACAAAAATTATCCGATTTTGATGAAACTTGGTACGTGTAAACCTACCTTTATTGGAACGAGTTCGCGATCCAGCATAATCGGACCATGGGAACAGGGGTTTATGGGGTAAAAATGTGGTTTTCCCATTTTTTACCCTAAAAACATTTAAACCGTTTTGTAGAGCTTTAAAAAAGAAATAATTTAGTATATTGAAGCGCTGTTGTATGCCTAACGGTCACGGAGAGAATACTAAAAAAGTGTAATTTAAAATTCCCATGTTATTCTTATGGAGAAAATGAAAATTGTTGTAGTTTACTTGTTAATGGATATATATTGATAAAATTTGGCAAATTTATTTATTTCATCCTATACTATTGACATATGTTCAAAAGCACTTTTTACCTTCCCCATAGCAGCAAACCTAAGCACTCGTTAAATCTAATGTTATTTAAATAGGGAATAAATATATGTCTTATTTATGGAAATATTTCAGTAAAAATGTAATCAGACAAGTTGAATCGCTTAGTCTGCAGGTTTGCTGAGGTGGGGGTATTTTTATTGTTTATTATAACATTACCGTACCGGTATCTATTTTATAGGTTATACAGCATAATAGTGTAATATATTTTTTGTACTCCCGGAGGTAACTTCCGTGAGTGCCCTTTGGTGTTTGAAAATCAATGCGCCAGACAGAAGGTTACTTCATGGCTTGTAAATGAAATATTCTATAAGTTTTATACCTATAATAATTAATCAGGTAAATGCATAAACATTTCCCTCTTTATTCAAACACACACGGAAAAATTTGCATTGTAAGGGTTGTTTCGTTAGCTGGTTACATATTCACGGTGGCGTCGTCCTGTAATCCACCTACTAGGAGGTCACGAACTGTGAATATTTATAGGCATGCACTGTGGATGCAATACTCCCTGGAGTGGATTAACGTCCGCACTAGTGAGTACTTTACTACTATCCGCAATACTATCCTGATAATTAGACCAATTTGTTAATACCAAGGCAAAAATGTGGTTTGTATTCCACTATAAACTGAAGGTCCCTTAGCTGCCATTAGCTGTGCTGTATGGGCTATTAATTAATAGCTGTCTAAGGAATATGTCGGCCTTAGTCACTAACAAAACCAATTATAAGATGCGCCAATCATCCTTCACTCATATATGGGTTAAAATATGCACATAGTGGCGTCCCCATCTTAAACTTAATTGATTGATTGATTAAGGATGTTATTATGAAAATGAAAATCTTTAACTTATTTTCCATTAAGCATGTAGGCCTACATGCAATAGGCATTGACGCTACACTATAAATAAATACACTGAGGATACGCGTTCGGTAATCGGACGTGGATTAAGTACTTAAGCGTCCGACAGTGGTGTCACCGGGTTGTGAAGGCCCGGAACGCCATTAAATACCACAACGATACAGCCATCGGTGTTTGTGGTGTGGATAGAGTGTTTGGCTGATATGCGAGAGGTTGCTGGTTCGATTCCTATCGGTAACTTTTAACTTTATGTCAAAGATTTTGCTTTGAATGCCATTTCTTCTTAACTGTACATCTTTTCTGTAGAACTTTTGGCATTTATAATTTTATTTCATGAACAGAATTTAACCTTTATTCGACTTTTTCATCATCAGCAAGTTTGGTTAGTTAGGTTAGGTTATGACAGTAAATCTGCCGACCCGACCCCTAATTCAAGTCCGGTTACCGAAATGAATAATATATTAGGATTATCATGGACATTTTAATCCTCAAAAAGAAACTGTAGGCCTACCAATATATTTAACTGTATTTCTGAATTATATTTACTCGAACATGTAAGCTAATGTAAAAAGATGACAATAAAATCAAAACTTCAGGATCAGTTTAGTTATGATCAACAACTGTGTGTTGATAAACTTAATCAATCAACTAACTTATCAACTAAATTAATATAGGCCTAGCCTATAATCCTGTATCAAACTGTATAATTATACAAATACTTACTTAGACATTGTAGTAAAGCAATCTCAGATGAGCACCACATCAATAATACAGACTATTTATTTATGTTACATAACTGCAACTGCAAAACTGCATCCTTTCCATGTTATACAATATTTTGGATGGTTGATTGGTTGGTTTCGTTTCATGGTTTGGTTTGGTTTGTGTTTGTGTTTTTTGTGTGACTTGAGTCGCAGTCGGTATTTACTCAGGGGAGGTATAGATGAGCTTACGGTCGATGACAGCTATTATAGTCTGTCTAAAATAATTGTGCGGTTGGAATTCAACATATGATTTCCCTATCATGGTAAATCTCCCACTCATTTACCCTTTTCTACACTGAAATACCCATTCCAATCATCTGTTTTATATTGCAGAGAGGTTTTTAGGAAGCATTTGTTTATGATTGAACTACATACATAATAAAACTAGAAGATTTATTTTAACGATAAATAATCTACGTTTGATGGATTGTTTTAATAGTATATTACGTTACTAGTCCTGAAAATAAGTGTTTACCGGACGAGTGTGGTCGTTCCCGTGCGAGACGAAGTCGAGTACGGGATTACCATACGAGTCCGGTACACACATTTTGGACGAGTTACGTACGATAGTTTACGCCATACTACTAAATCCGTACAAATCCTTATATATTTCCACCAACTAAAGGACTAAAAATCACTAGTCATAACCTATTTTTTTGTTTATAACCACTCACTGCCACCTAAATACAGTATAATCAGCTGATTAGTGTCCGGCAAAACTCATTGCAGCACAGTAGTACGCAATGAAACCCCATTTGAATAAGCTGGCGGCAAACAGCTGTTTTCTGGACTAAATCCTTGCGTGGGAAGTTCGTCAAAATAATGTAGTGTGGCGTAAATACAATTTCAGTTCTAGTAATGTAACTATACATTATTAAATTAGTTAATATCGTGGTGAACTGATTTCAAAATTCTAAAGTGATTCTTCACTTCTTATTTAGTTATTATTTTAATACCGTCGGTAATGGGAACTTTGTCAAGGTCTCTAGCGGAGCCCTAAGGTCAGATCAGGAAGAAACCCATTGGGTTATCCTGTTTATGCCTGAATAATCAGTGTACAACATTAAACTCGCTAGGTAAATGACAAGTAGGAGCATTCGTGCTGAGTGAGTAAGTGAGCGAGTACTTAGCCTTTAATATGTACCTATAGGTCATGATGATCAATGGAGTCATTTCATTAAACTTGTTTTGTTATACAGTGCATTACTTGCTATAATTTTCTTTTACTGAGGACAAACTAACATTACAAATTGATCATATTATTTGAATGAATGAGTTATGTTTGGAGATACACACAAATTAAACCATTTGTATGTAACAGCTATTAAAGTTTAAATTTAAATTTTAAGTTTATTAAAGTTAAAGCATTTTTCATTCTTTACTAATTGTATAAATATTTCAAATCCCTAATAATAAAAGGCCAATATGCCTTAGTACACACCAAATACAGTAGAAAACAAAACTCGTAAAAACATATAAATATAATTTAATTTTTAAAACCTATATTAAACCACAAAATTACAATGCTGTAAATTTAACAAATGTTAGTGGTAATGTGAACGTTAACAAAGTACTGGATACGTTCCATTACATCATTCACTCTCATAACTGGAAAGTAGATATTCACCATCATCTTCGCTTAAGCCATCAGAGTCAGTGTCATCCTGCAGATTTATAATAAATGCTTTTTTAAATAACTGTACACACTAAAAAATGTGTTTTTTGATTGAATTGTAATGTCTTGGCACCTTTTGGCCATTTCTAATTAACACTAATCAATTAAACACAGACTGAATAATATTAAACTGCACAAAATACCATCAGAATAATCACAATGTTGTTTACTACTAAAATGTAAACAAAGTGAAAACTGTTGTAAAATTATGAACAGTATGAATCAGCTGTAGGCTAATATGTTGTGGTGGCAGGGGCCAGGGAGAAAACAGGGGAAAACAAATTTGTCCTTCAACCGCACATTAAATTCAGACAGAGAATAGCCCAGTCACTTTAGGTAAAAACCTAGACATGAAAGATGTAAAGCTGATTTTTTGCATGGTGATATTATATAATAGGAAGGATGTTTTCTGAAAGTTCCCCGAATTTCCCCCCTTGCTTCCCCTTAAAGACCCCCCCCCTCCCCCCAAACACGAGGTTGAAAGTGTAGTGTTTAATAAATCACCTATATCTTTTTATGTAAACAAGCTATCAGCATAATTGTTTTTTCTTTGAACTCCTTGTTAAATTTACATTAATAAAATAACCTTACATGTAGCATTATCTTTATTGGATGGGGTTTTATATGTGATACAAAATAAATATTATTTTATTTAAAACGTTAAGTTGTAGATTAGGCCAAACGTTAGTTTTGCAGTAGGTAGTACGTCATTGTAACACAACTTTTTACCTATTTTATGAACTTTCCAAAAATGTATAACAATATATATTTTAATTTAAATTGTTACCGAATGAAGCAATTTAAATCCATGCTTCAAACAGCCACAAAGCGCACTTAGCCCATCAATCAAACTTGTCCAGTAAATATTACTATCTATCTTCTAATATATAAAATTCTCGTGTCACAGTGTTTGTCTGCAAACTCCTCCGGAACGACTTCCCCGATCGTTATGAAAATTGGTGTGTAAATTCTGTAGGTATGCGAATAGGACGTAAACTATTTCCCGTTTCGAAATTCTTAAAAGGGCTCCGCCCCAGTGGCTCTGGAGTTTCCCATGTTAACCTTATGAGAAATGGAATTAATGAATCTTAACAGCTGTTTCAATTAAACAAGTTGGTTCTGTTCTATGATGTTCAATAGCATTAAAGTTACAAGGATTGCCAACAGGGTACAGCACTATTATTTCTTTTACATTTATGACAACAGCTAATTTGCAACCAAAAGGTGAGTGAGCGTAGCGAACGAACTTCAACCTGGAGGCGAGTGAGCGTAGCGAACGAGCTAACCTGAAGGCAAGTGAGCGCAGCGAACGAGCTCCAACCTAAAGGTGAGTGAGCGTAGCGAACGAGCTCCAACCCAAAGGTGAGTGAGCGTAGCGAACGAACTTCAACCAGGACGTGATTGAGCGATGCGAACGAGATCATCTTGAAAATTAAACGTAACGGTACTTTCTTTCCATCGGCCTGTCTTAGGGGAAACCTATAACTTAGGCGATACGAAGTTCGCCGGGTCAGCTAGTTTCTATATATAATTCAGTTTTAAAAATATTTGTAAATCTAGAGTTCTACTGGACCGATTTTATTAATTATTGTGACGTTGGAAAGTTTAACTCGTGTAGATTTGCAAATAATTATGAAAGTTTGTTTTTGTTATGATGTATGGCAAAAAATCAAAAAATGCTTTCCATATGAAAACTGTGTTTTAAACACTTTTTGTTTGGGTGCGAATTTTGGCTGCTTATTTTGAGTATTTTCAAGAAGTGCATGGTACCAATTTGTAGGAAATTTTATCCTCTTTCAGAATATCACCTTCCACTCTGATCGATTTCCTCGCTATTTAAAAGTTATTTGCAAAAAAGCTAAGCAACCTCTGAATTTATAGTAATGATGAAATACTGAGTAAGGGATGATATTTTTGTTAAACTTTGTACAACTAAATCTAGACTTCTACTGGACCGATTTTGTTAACTAATGGGTCATTGGAAAATCTAATTCATGTAGATTTGGAAATAAGTATGGAAGTGCGATTTTATCAAATATCTGTGGTGAAAAAGTTAAAATTTATTAAAAACTGCTTTTTTTAAGTTTCCGTTTTCAAGTTTCTATTTGTAGCCAGCTTTTGGCTGCCTTTAATAAGTATTTTCAAAAAATGCATAGTAGTTATTTTAGTACATTTTATTCTCTTTCAGAATATCACATCCACTTTGGTCGATTTTCCCTCCATTTAAAAGTTATTGGCAATAAGCTAGGCGATCTCCAAATTTTAAAGGGTGAGAAAATTCTAAATTAGATATGTTTTTGTTAAACTTTGTACAACTAAATTGATTGTATAAAGCGCTGATTGTATAAATTCACTCCCACCCTTCATTGACAAAGGAGCTGACGATGATGAGGGAAAAGAAAGTTGATATGTACTGTATCTGATAGTTTATTAAACTATCAGATACAGTACATATCAACTTGCCTTACTCTAAGTGTTTTTTTTTTACTGTAATTAAATAAACTTGTAGAGCATATACTGTAGAAGGTGATTGGTACTCAGTGTGACAAACATTTTTTGATGTAAGTACAAAGTCAATGAAGTGTGATGATGCAAATAAAAGGTTCCAAATCTAAAAATTATTCTATGCTTTTAAACTTAATACAGCTATTTCTCAATTACCTGTATATGGATTTGAGTAGATTATGCCATTTTCGTGTTCTACATTAAATTTTGAATAAGAATAATAGAAAATTACGGAGAATCAGTTGTAAAAACCCCATTGTAAATAGATTCAAAGATAAAAATTAAGATTTTTCATAAAAATAAAAAAAACATGGGTCTGTTGCATTTTTTCACACCCTGTATACAAGAAAGTGTCCAAATATGTTAAAAGCTGGGCCATTTTATAAGCTTTCCAACCATATGCTATACTATTGAGGTTTAGATATTCTTTTGTTTGTTTTAGTGGTTTGAATACCAGAAAACAGGGAACTTTTTTACTGTTCAAGCTGAAACAATAATACAAGTTTTGCTTAATACATGCCGACTTTCTATGTTTGAAATGTTGAACAAAGACACCATGTTTTGTAGTCTTCAAACCACTAAAGCGTACATAAACAGATATAAAGCTCAATGGTGTAGCATATGGTTGGAAAGCTTATAAAATGGCGCAGTTTTTACCATATTTGGACACTTCTTGTCTACAGGGTGTGAACAAATGCAATAGACCAATATTTTTTACATTTTTATCAAACATCTTAATTTTTATCTATGAACCTATTTACAATGGAGTTTTCACAACTGATTTCCCGTAATTTTATATTATTCGTATTCAAAATTTAATGTAGAACACGAAAATGACATTATCTATTCAAATCAATTTACAATTAATTGAGAAATAACTGTATTAAGTTT